TAACTAAATACCCTTGTTGGGGAAGAGTCGTCTCCTGTTACAGATGAAGAAAGTGAGGTACGGGGGTGGGGGTTAAAGCCCAAGCCTGTAGAAAAGGCTTCTCATCTTACCTGCCTCCACATCTGGATGCCCTTATCTGGGCAGCTGGGGCCCGGTTTTCACAGAGGGTAAAATTAAGCCAGCAACAGGTGCAGATGCTCAACACCATTCAGAAAGAGTCTGGTAAAATGGTGCAATGGGTCATTAAGAGCCAATTTACAAACTCTAGTGGCCGTTCTACCTTCTGGTCCCCTCGTATAAACGCTTCTGCCTTAAGCCCAAACATCCAAATGTCATTTACTCCAAAAAGAAATTAAGACTTTCTAACTTCTCTTTGCAACCCTCCCTTCTTTCATTCCTTTGGGTTAAATCCAGGCTGTGCATCAAAAGCATGTGACCCCTAATCTTCAAGAGTTGCTCTGAATATGCCACATTCACACTTATGTTTCCACTAAACCACTAACTGATGCTCTTTTCCACATGTACATCTTCACCCTGTCATACTGACTGCAACTATGAGAGGATTGCAGGGCCCATCACTGACCTTCCCCTGGCAAGAGAAATTTGATTTTTTTCTAGCAGATTCTGACTCAGAGACAAACTGCAAGTATTGTATTATTTTCCCTGTATCACAGAGAGCAGCAAGCTTGCTGGGCCCCTGAAAAGTCTTTCTAATACAGGTTGACACAAGGCTGGACACCAGGAGCACCAGCTCTCCTGTCCTGCAGCCATCTGAGTACTTTTGAAGCAAACAGTATGCTCTGAACTCACTACCAACATCTGTATCCCAGATCTAGAGTGTCTCTCCAAGTTTGATGGCCACACTACAAGCCAGTCACCATATTTTTCAAGTAGCTACTTCATGTTTCTCAACTCCCACTTTGTCGTGACTAATCTCAGTAACACCCTTTGCCATGAAATCCACTTCAGTCCTTCATGAATCCCTGCAGCTAGGGCTTTTGTTTCCATTCAACACAGCAACTCCTTGCTCCTTGACCTCGCAATGTGCTTAAGAAATCATAAGCCCTGGCATGTTTTGTGAAATGGGATTACATTAGTCATAAATCAAGTCACCACTAGGATGGGCCCACTCTTCTCTTCTTTTTCCCCCTCACATTTTACTCTGTTACTGCTAAAGCACAGCTTGTCCAAGATGTACTGCTACACATGGAGAATGAGGGCTGGAAGGGACCTCAGGAGGTCACATCTAGTCCAACCCCGTGCTCAATGCAGGACCAGCCCCAACTACATCATCCCAGCCAAGGCTTTGTATAGCTGGGTCTTCAAAACCTCCAAGGATGGAGGGTCTTCAAAACCTCCACAACCTCTCTGGGTAACCTGTTCCAGTGCTTTACTACCCTCCCAGTGAGCAAGTTCTTCGTAATATCCAACTTTAACTTCCCTTGCTACAACTTGAGCCCATTGCTCCTTGTATCTGTCATCGGCCCCCACTGAGAACAGTTCAGCTCCATCCTCTGTGTGTCTACCTTTCAGGGAGTTGAAGGCTGCTATTCAATCCCCTCTCAGTCTTCTCTTCTGCAGATTCAGTAAGCCCAGTTCCCTCTGTCTCTCCTCATACATCATGTCCCCCAGCCCCTGAACCATTTTTGTTGCCCTCTGCTGGACTCTCTCCAATTTCTCCACGTCCTTTCTGTGGTGGGGGCCCCAAAACTGGACACAAGACTCTAGATACTCCAGTCACATCTCCCTAGGATAATGTCGGGTGGAGATGCACGTTTAATTTAGCTACAGGTTACACCAGTATCCTGCTATCAACATATGTTTACTTCCTTGCATTACAAGTTTAAACGCATTCTTAAAAAGTTGTCTACTACAGAGATCTCCATTTAAAACATCGGCTTCCTTAGATATTTTGTGCCGAGGCTTAGTCAACATTCCCTTGGAGACTGTCAAATATTTATGTGAGTCAAAGAGATTTCAATTTGCAACTAATAAGGCTTGCTCAGCCAGAACAATGACAGCTCCATTCCAGTCACCTGCTTGGGAGGAAAAGCAGTCACACCTACCGACTGAAAGTCCAGAGTAAGTTGCACAAATTTAGATTCCTGCATGGCTCTGACAAACAGACTAGAAACTTCCTCCTCAAGCAGATTTCTAACACGTGTATTTTTCCCACACAGCTATTTCTAATTTTTTAAATCAAAAACAAAAGGGAATAAGGGATTAAGGGGATTGGTGACTAGATGTTTTCCAGACTGAATGACAGGAAACTCATCTTGGGAAATGTTATCTTTTATCTTAACAAGCATCCCAAACAGCTCTCAAAGGGAACGCAGTCAGCAGAAGCCTGAGTTAGAGCTTGCAGCCCTGAGCTGCCTGATGGAAAGTCTTACTACATAATAAATACAAATGGAGAGAAGGGAATATCCTTTTGTTCTTAATATCAAACACTTCTTTATATGGCATAATGTTATCAGACACTGAAACCAAAGGACACTGCAAAGCTCTGTTGAAAAATCTGGCAGTTGGAGTCTGATGTACTCTTGTCCAGCTGTGGCTCTTGGGCTTGAAGCAGGACTTATTTCAGAGAAGCCTGTGGCCTGGGCTCCACAGCTGATCAGACTCATCTAAGCATGGCGGGCCTTAGAATTGATCGCCAACCTGTGAAACTCAGCGCTGTGCTCTGCAAAGGGCCCACAAAAAGCAGAGTAAATGCGTACAATATAATGCACTTACGTATGATCCCGTCCGCATTGTCCTCCTGCTTTGGTAAGTAGAGCACCGAAAGATCACTCTGAAGGACTTCATCTGATGTTGCTCTGGCTAAAGCAGCTGCCAAAAATGAAGGGCAATTGCTGCAAAAGAAAAACACAGCAGAGATACTTTCAACTGATTTTGCAAGATAACTGGCAATCAGTGTAATGCAGGGCAACACTTCTGTCTGTAAAGAAATAGTTTGAAGGTTGTCCAAGATTTGCAAGAACACAACAGAATTTTTTTTATAAATAATGCTGAAGCCTGGGATCTTTTCATATGCACTCTCTGGCTTTTATTAGGCTTTACTTCACTTTCTAGGGCACTATTCTTTAAGCTTATATGCTTCACTTTGCACCCTTTGCTTACTCCCGAGCACAGATGCAGAGCTTATCAAATATGCTCAGATCACACGCAGTTTCTCTATTTACATCATCAAACTGAGCTTATCAACCTGTCCAGCTGCCCTGCCTAACACAGGCTCTTGTTTCAGGTTCTCACAGGCCAGGCCCTGGACCCTTTGCAACCTGAGGACACTCAAGGACAAATCAACAAAAGGTAAGCAATTAATTTGTATACGCTAAAGGGTATTAAACACTTCTGTGGATGCTCTCATTGAGCAGTAAAGTGGACTTAATTCATTGTACTTTAATTAAGCCTGAGACCTCCAGCTTAATTAAACTGCAACAAAACAAGGCCACTTCACTTCTGGAAGACAGTGCCCACACAGAGGTTGAACACCCATTAGCATGGGTGGGTTGCCTTCACATCCTTGGATCATTTGCTTTGACAATTCTGAGAGACCCCCAAGAACCTGCAGTGTCTCTTCTGAAGTGTATGCGGCCCTGGCGCAGGGGGCATCTGCAGCACAGGACCGATCACGGTATAAATCAGCTTGATCAGAGCCTGGAAGCAGCAGGCCGATTCATTTACTCTGATGAGAAGAGTTTACCTGAGAAGCAAGGCAAACAAACTCCCTTGCCCAGAGCTCCATGGGCCCACAGCCTGCAGCCTTGAGCATGCTTGGGTAATGAACAGTGTTTAACAATAAACCCGGGGCTTCCATTCACTCTCTCCAAGTACAAGAGCAAGAGAATGTCAAAGAAATTGAAAGGCAAAAAACTCCCAAAACAAAAAACACAAGGACAAGTGGTTCCTGCTGTGAAAGAGCAATACATAGTATTTTGGCTTTCACTGCCGAGGCTGAGGGCTCAGCAGAATTGCAGAACTGCCCATGACAGACCTCCTGTCCCTTCCTGTGAAGCATCTGTACCCATCCCATGGTTAGACAGACGAGATTTGGCTGGATGGACGCCCATTCTGCCTCCTCTAGTCCTAGGCACAAAATAGGGACCTCAACAGACCTCAACAGAGAAAGAACGAGAGGCACAAGGCCAGACTTAGATGTACTCTCATGTTTGGCCTGATGCCAAGCAAAGAAAATTCTGGTCTGGCCCAAGTCCGGTAACTTCATTACTGAGGAACACGCATCAGAAAAGACTTCAGTTAAATTCCTATTACTCGCTCCATTTGAAAAGCCACATTACCTTAATGCTTTCCAGACATCTCATTCACCGTCACAAACAGTCAATTTAGAGTACAATTATGTCAGAGATTTATAAGTGTGCACAAGCCAAGTCTTCTGTCTCTTTTAATATTTAGCATTTACTGTTTATGAAGGTTGGATGTAGGATCAGAAGCGCCCAATTTTCCCAAATCCTCCACTGTCCGGAGGGAAGTGCTGGCCCTTTAAGTGATTCGGGGAGCCACACTTATTTCAATATTATGACATCAATGAGATTCATTGCTAGAATTAGCGTCTGAGCATTCTACCCACGCAGCTACTCCAAACCTCAGCAATATGTGCACTAATGAAGCATGACTACATGAGGATGTTAGCTGTCTTAGGCCTGGCTCCTCCCGGTACAATGTAGGAACTCTGATCCTATTTACATACCACAATACCTTGTGGGAATATACGGTAAGCAGCAGGAAGGAAAAAAAAAAACAACCTCTGTGACCTCCTTTATTTCCAGTGCACGTAGAAGCTGATTTTCCATGTGTCCTTGTTTGTTGTTATTCAGTTCATAAGGGATAGGTTTTTCATTTCTATTATTAGCTCCAGCATCCCCAAGAAGCATTACTGGTGACTACTCACACTTCATGCAATTTCCATGTTACAAAAGAAACAAGGATATGCTGACTCCAGGGCTAAAATAATTACAAACAATGATGTCAGCCAAACCAGGAATCTCTGTAGGAAGACCATCTCAATCAGAGATGAATCAAGAGCATTTTAGCATGGCAGAACCTACGTAACCCCAGCAGAGGATGGTAAGTATCCCAGACAGAGCTCACTTTAGAGAGGTATTGCCTGCACCATTATCCAAGGAACATGGGTTTGTTTCCCAGTCCTAATCTTTGTCCCTGCAGCAACAATGAGAGAAAGGAGCACCTTGCATAGCTTGCAGACAACCCCGTTGGTCTGGGCATGGAGAGAATCCTGTGAAGAACATAGCCAAGAAAACAGCAGCTATAATAAATAGTCTCCAGGATATAAAAAGATAGGGGGAAAATATAGTGGGAATCTCTGTTCCATCCAGGAAGGCAAGAACTCCAGCAAAGGGGGAAATAATACTCTGTCATTAGCATTCACATGTAAAATAGCTAGTTTTATTATTTGACCCTGTAATGGCAGGTTAGAGGAAAGGAGGTGTATTACAATGTACAGAGGTTAAGTGGCTGGTCAGGGCCTTTCCCAACCAGCTTCCTACATGCCCCCACACAATACAAATGTGATGCCTACTGTCTTGAACTGGAGCTCTTTATCTAACCAAGGCATGTATTTCCATCACAATACCAAACCTACACAAAATGCCACAAAAGATGTTATTAGATAAATTAGAGGGTTTTTAAGTACATCCTTCCTGCTTCTTTGGCAGCATGGGTGTCTGTACAACACCCACAGTTGTATTTCAACAATCTTGGGATAACTCTGCTAAGGTAGCAAGCAAGCTTGAAAGTGGGCAGTTTCCATCAATTAAATTTGAGAGAAACAGTCTAAAGTAGGCTTAACTCATCCCACATATTATTATGATACTTGCTTACCATACACCTCTGCTCCTTGCTGATAACACTGGAGTGGGAAGGATTTACAAACGTTTCCTGTGAGTTATTTGTCTGTGTTCAAAATCTAACATAAAATCCTTGATTTAAAAAAAAAAAGGGAGTATGGGAAATATAACCCCAGGATGTATTAAGGGCCATCAAAAGGCTTGGACTGGCTTGTTTAATCACTTTTGAAAGACAGGATGGAGAAAAGAAATGGCAGAAAACATGTTTGTATATGACTGGTCATTCTCCTACAACCGCAGTAGCCAGCCCAAGAATTAATTGCCTTTGACATCCGTACATCACAAAGCTTCTTAAGCCTTTCTAGGACTGCACAATGCAAGCAGCAAAGTGACCAATTGGAGGTGTCGCTTTGAATTTCTCTGTTCTGCGGCTGCTTCTGTCAAAAGCTTTTCACTGGATTGTTTCCCCCCAGTGACTAGGGTAGCAGGCTACGCAGGACTTTGTGGTGCCTGGCATGTACAATAGGCTGGATCCTGAACTCAGTTACATTGCCACAAGAATACTCTTTTCCATGGGGTCTCTCTGAGATGAATCCAGAGTAAGCGAGATGAGCCCAGTATCTTTGTTTTTATCACTGTACATGGATGTTCAGTCAAGAGCCGAATACATCCAGGAAGATCAATATTTGAACGGGAACACTGTCACAATGGACAGACCAGACCTGTCCTCACTTCCCCTTGTGCAAAGAGGAGTAGGAGTGATGCACTGGATTCCCTGGGGTAGAGGAGCTGCTTTGCGCGCACGGCTTTAAAGGGAATGGAAAGAGGGTCTGCTTCTGAGCTGCTTCGAATGTTACTCTTGCGCCTGGGCTAATGTCCAACACAGAATGGGGAGTTGCTTTTCTTACCCTGCTCTAACCATTTGTGATGCCATTAAGAGCAGTGGAAACAAAGAGTCCTGGCTGGTAATATGATTTTTCACCTCTTCTTTTAAGATTGAAACAGGGCAAGTCTGATCTGGCAGTTTCTCAGGGAGCTGGGACTAAGGCCTCCTTTGATTTATTCTTAGCTATGCCACTAACTCAACCTGTGGCCTTGGATACATCACATCACTCCTCAGGGCTTCAATTTCCTCTGCTCTCATGGGGACGGTGATACCATCTCTCTGAGGGGCTGTGGGAGGCTTGATTCAGTTTTTCTAAGGCACTTGAGATTTCAAGATAAAGCCACAATGGAAGGGCAAAGTATTATCATGATAGTGGAAGATATTCTCAACCTAGACAAGATTTATGGAGTTTTCATATTTTCCTTCCTGTTCCATCTTCCCTGTTCTCTATCAGCATGGCAGAAATACAGTGCTAATTAGCCCGTCCAGAGCACTGTGTGGGTGCAGCTGCAGTGCTTCCCGTCAGGGTACCGCGTGCAGAGCAGCACAGCCTGCTTGGGGATGCTGCTGCCTGGCCCTGCAGGGTACAATGCTGGCATGCAAGCCAGAAGAGACTTTAACCCTTGCAGATTTTCTCTTGCCAATATATAGTCACAACTTTCTACCATATTTGAAGTAAATTGGTTTTTAGCAGTCAGAACTTCTCAAAAGAAAAAGCAAAGCAAGAGGAAGGAACGGTTAAGTTCTCTATGCTCAGCAATGCCAAGTCCAGCAGGGTGGCTCTTACACTGCTAGCAGGGATTGCTGATAGAAGTCTAGGACAGTGGTTCTCAGCTGGGGAGCTGTGAGCCCCTTCCAGAGGTACTGCCATAGAGTTGCGGCCACAGCCAGGTTGAAATGTCCAGCGTACCTCAGTTTGGAAAGCGGCTGTAGCTGGAGCCTGCACTCCTTCCCAGTCCACCCCCACATGCTCCTCTCAAAAGCAGAGGCACACTAGACAGGAGGGACTGCCCCACACCCATTTCTGGAAGGGGCATGTGGGTTTGGAGCACAAAAGCGCGTACCGTGGCTGCAGCCCTCTGCACTGCCCGTCTGGGCGGGTCAAGCTGGGCTGTGGCAACCCTTTGCACTGTGGCTGGAG